TCCCCCACTCGCAGGCAGAGCTAAGAAAATAATTTGCTGTAATAATGGAGGCAGGAGCTTAACCCTGCCCCCTGGAAATCACAGGCACTTCAGAGGCAGCACAATCTGGCCTCTGGTGAATGACAGAGGCCAATTTTGCTCTTTCCGTATTTATTATCATTAAGTAATGAGATTGGGGTGGTGCACAGTCCCAGCAGAAGAGCTGTCATCGAGTTTTGCTACAGAATTTGGCACACAAGGCAATCTCCTTGCACAAGCCAAAAGAGAGGAGTCTCGAGCATCTGAACTAGCCTTGGCTGCACCACCTCTGATCCCAGACACCCAGAGCAGGTGACCAAGGCAGGTCACTTTGGCCAGGAGGCTACCACAGAGTTTGGGTTGTGTTCTCAATGTTCAACTCCTTGAACCTCATGCTTGGTTTTGCTTAAGAAAGGAAGAAAAGGATGTTCAGCTCTGACTTCTGGGAGGAATCAGAGAAGCTCTGGGCAGGACTTGTTCCATCCCCAAGCTCGGAACAGAAGCACTTTTTCCACTCCCACCCATGCTGGCTTTCACGGACACTTCACGGACATCCTCAGGACTGAAAGACACTGAGCCCCAGTAGTTGGCAACCTCTTTACTTCTACAGCATCATTTCCTGAGCATTAAGTATCCCTAAAGGAAGGTGATCCAGAACTCTAGGTGCCCTTGACACCAGTTAAAGCTATAATCTATAGCAATAAAGCCATTACAAAACAAGACCAGGAGCAAATCCCTCCAGCAAACAACCAGTCAGCGAAAAAATTGAACCCAAAGAGTCTCCTCCATTGGTCCCCGCTGCCACAGCCCTTCCTGGCACCTCTTCCTGCAAACACACTCAGGGGACCGAGGTGGGTCTTTGCACCAGGCTCATCTCAGTGATACGCCAAGGACACCTGAACAGTCTCCGTGTTAATGGGAATCTAATTGGGCATCCAGACCCGTGACACAGCTTGGAAAGCTGTGGCGCTGTGGGTGATAACTCATTTGGCTTGAGGTGCTGCTGGCCAGCACCCAGCGGCAGCAGGCGGCTCTGGAAGGGCTTGTGGCTGAGCCCATCTCTTCCCTGATGGTGTAAACGTGACTTCCCACCACCCAGAAAACCCCCAAATACCCCAATCCCACCCAAAACCAACAGGTTCGTGGGGATGGGGAGGAAACTCCAGTCTGTACAGGGACTGGACCTGATGATCCCACTTTTCTGCATCCTTTTCCCTCTCAGCCCATCCTCTTTCAAACAAGCCCCGTCCCACTTCCTATCATTTAACCATCTCTTAGCTTTATTTCTGGTTCCTGCCACATTCTGGCTGGCAGAGCACACAGGGTCTTTTCCCCAGGGAGCAGAGAATGTAAAATTTGCTACCTAAATGGGAAACAAGACTGCCATTCTGGTCTACAAGAGATACAAGGAAATCACTCTACATTTCTTCTCCCTCCAAACCTGCCTGCCTTCTGCTGGCTCCTGAATGTTAATGCTATTTATGACAAGTGATTGATGAGGGGGATGCAGAATTCACACCCAGCGCAGGGCATTTTCAAATCACCTATTCATTTTTAAGGACCGGAATCAGTTTTGTGTCCTGACATGATTTATCATTTGGAGGTAGAGCAGCGGCTAGGCAGGGCCAGCTTCCAAGCCCTGACAGAGCATCACCAGGCTGGAGGCAGCGGTGAGTAGTTAACCCTTTGAGGGGTGAGCAGATCATCCCAGGACACCGGTTCTTCAAACTAAATTGATGAAGTTGAAGCCTTCTATTCCACCAGCACGTGAGGCCACCCTACAGCCTTCCGATGCCCAGACCATGCCGGTCCAGGCCACAGTAATGCTGCTATATTTCTTGAAAGCAAAACTAGGTTTTTATCTTCCACACAGCCTGGCTCTGTGAAAGGGAAATATTTACGTAAGACGCTGTCATCGCAATGCGCCTAAAAGAGATCAATGGGACATTTCCCCTCCAGTGGACCTTCCAGCCTACACGAGCTGCTCTATCTGCAGCAGAGAAGAGATCTCACCAAGGGCTCAGGAGAGATCTAGCTGCGAGTCAAATTCTGGTTCCCTTCCTTCCAAAATGTGCATTTCCTGAGGTTACATATGGTAAAAGGGAAAGATCAGGCACATGAACAGGCCCGACAGCTGGGAGAAGGCAGAGCTCCTCAGGTTGGGAGAAGCTATATAAAAAGGGACAAAGTGGGAATGACACGTCCCCAGCAAAGACAATCTGTATCGCACATTTGACGCCAGCCTGCCAGTGGCTGGCACGACCCACAGAATGACTTAATTCATTGCATCAGCATGGAAAAGCAAACAAACACAAAAGAAGTGGGTGAAGCAGCCAAGTCCAGAGGTGACACCGTGGCAGCTTTGTCACAGCCCTTTTCTCTTGCTTCAGGAGACGCCAGGACAGGACACAACCTCTCTCATGAGCAGAGAGAGTTGTTCAGAGTGCAGACAGCAGAAAACTGCTATCCAAGGCTACAAGAACTGTGTCTAGCTGTCCTCAGTACCCTTAATATCAGCCCAACATCTCAGGGAGAAAGGTTTTGAAGTTAAGGGCATCACAGATTCAAGCTTAGGAAGTTACCCAAGGGGACGGGGAAGAAGAGATGTCCATAGAGAGTCTACCTGGGGAGTCATATTGTCTCATCCCCTGCCCGAGCAGCTCCTCGCCATCCCATTCCCCACAAAGGGCCATGCCTTCCTCAGGTGGAAAGGCTGCAGATGGGTAGGTTGGCCCCATAGCAGCAGCTTCACCAGCAGAACCCTGCAGATGTAGGGAATTCAAGCACCAGTCTTGCCTTCAAGCTCTTGGCTCACACTAAGTGTGCTGGGAGCCCCTGGGATCCTGTGGAGTCCCACTTCACAAAGTGTAAAAGCTACTGCCAACTCTCAGAAAGAGCTGAGCACGTGGGCTGAGCTGCTCTAGGAACAGTCAGGACCATCTTCAGCCACACTCTCCCATATGATTCTCTGGTTTGTAGTAAGGGTTGAGTTCACACAACAGTTTTTCCCCCCACCCCTCGGTGGGGATGGCTGCTGTCACTGCCTTGCATCCTGTTTTCACAGAAATACTGGAGATGCTGAGCATGCCTGAAGCTCCTAAACCTGCAGCCATATATGGCTAGTATTAGCCCAGTGGATCTAAAATACTGAGCGACTGGGATGGCTGTACGTACGTTCTCACATACCCATCACCATGGCATAAGCTGTGTTTCTTAGGAAACCGGACTAGCAGCAGAGCCTGCTATCTCCGTTTAGGAGAAGAGATGAACTCTGGATGTAAGACTGGATTTTATAAGCCACTCTCTACCGCTACCACCTGCATGGTGTCCTGCAACTGGGAGGAGAGCAGAGCTTCCAACAGGGGTGGGAAGAGATAACATAAATAGACGAGAGGGAAAGAGAAGGAATGAGGATGAGGGTGTGCACTGTGGTTCTGTGTGGTTTTCTTGGCATGTCTTTGGGCAGCAGATGGGACAGCCACCTATAACATGACTCTTATGCTCTACCTCCAGGCACAGTGGTGGCCAGGGAGGTGAGAACACCCAGCCCCTGCAGCCTTCCCCCTGCCCTGCTGCTCTGACATCTCTCTGGCTTCATGTCCACACTCCCATGTGGGATGGAGGAGCTGTGGGATCTGTTGGCAGCCAGGGATGACATCCACATGGCTTGGCCTGTGGTTCTCCTCCTGGAGACCTGGCCCACAGAAACAATGAAAGGAAATTTTTGCCTTGAGGCTGGTCCCTGCTGGGCCTCCTGATGGTGCCCTCATCGGGCAAGCGAGCCCCCAGCCAGGTGCCCATCTGGTGGCTCATGAGCAGGCACTGCTGCGAGGCACATGCTCAGCAGTGGCCAGTCAGAAGGGCTGCTTCAAAATGCTTTTTGGAGTGAAAGTGGTACTACAGCTACGGTGCCATTCCTCCACCCCCAGAGGGGTTTGTTCAGTGAAAATTTTCTGTTGGGGAACCTAAAAATAACATGCCCATCCCAAGAACTTTCTTTTTTCGGTTTAAGGGGGCTGGTTTTCTTTCTGCTCCGTTGCACTAAGGGATACAAGAAAAGCCAAATTGTCCTGGCTGTACCTTTCCTTTGCCTTCTCTACCCCACTGCCCAGTGGGCCAAAGAAGTCTTTCAAAGCCTGACAGCAGTCAAGTTTATTTCTTGCTAGAAAAGAGGAAAAAAAAAATCACTCCACAAGGGAAATAATAATGGAAGTTTCCTGTGAAAAATAAATAATCAACAGTTGCTCTCCCGTGGGTGTCCTGGAAGCTCTTCAGACCAAAGAGCATCTCTGTTGAGCATTTTTGCACCTCCCAGTACAGGGTCCTGAGCCAGGAGCAGAAACCGGTCGCAGTCACGGTGGCATCAGTCTAAGGTGCTACACACTGAAGAAGAGCCATCACACCCAAGGTACCCTGTCTGCCCTTCCCCAGCACCACAGGCCAAGCTGAGGCACCCACGTTTCACACCACCAGACCACTGCCATGGAAACCATCTCCAGGTACCTGTTTCAGCCCTCCTGGGAAGCACACTCCCTCCCAGCCAACGCTGCACTGGCTCAACCAGGGTGGCGCAGCTTGCCCCAAGCATCCTGGTGCCCACATGCTTCCCAGGCAGGAGAGGGCAAAGCCACCAGGCAGAGATGCCTGTCCACACATTGCCAGTAGAGATCAAAGAGCATCATCATCCTTCTCCCTGAGCTTGTGAGCGTGGTAGGGTCGCTGAGCTCACCAGGGGCACCTGAGGACCTTGCTCCTACCCAGGGATGGCTGCCAAGCCTTTCTAGCTCCAGCTATCAGCAGGTCAGAGCACCTCTTCCCAAGGGAAGGGAAACAAATCCACCTCTTCTCATGACAACACCACCTCACCACCTTCTCACCATGTCTAGCCAGCATGACACAGCCTGCCAGCAGCACAGGACCAGCTACCTCCCACACTCTCAGTTGCAGTGATACCATGACCCAGCAGCAACACCACCACTCACCATTTGGATGACAGACACCGGCCCGATGCTGTTCACGTAGATATCCACATCGATAAACGTGGGCTTGACTGGAAAAAAAAAAAAAAAGAAATAAAATAGCTGGAGCTACCATCATTTGTGAAGGACTGAGGACCAGGGGAACATCTGGGATTAGCGTGGCTTAATCTCACCAGAAATCCCAACTACAGCAGCCACAAAAGCATGGAAAACACAAGACACAGCCAGAGCAGGTCACCACCCCTGGCCCCAGGGAACTTCAGGGGACACTTACTGCCAATGTCAGGCCTCAGCTTGTTGTCATAGTTCTTCAGCAGCGAGTTGAGGATCTGTGTGGCATCAGTCTCCTGTGCCTTGGGGGTGAGGACCCAGGTTTTATTGATGCTGAGGTAATCATAATCATATTCCTCTGTGCTCTCACACCTGGAGCAGAGAGACAAAAGGAGAGAGACATCACTGTGGCAGCTCTCTGGTGCTCTGTGGGAGCCGGGGCACAGCTGGGCTTCAGAGATACAGAAGGAGGAAGCAGCGCTGCTAAAAGGTGGAACCTAAGGAGCTCAGGGATCTCCTCTCAGCCACCTTGCTAAGAAGACACAACTCACCTGGCATCTTTGCTCCCTTCAGGGTCCCCAGATGTACAGAGCCCTCGCTGCTAGCAGGCACGGGGTGTTCCACATCCTCCCCAGCTCCCTTTGGAGACACACTGCTCGTCCTCGACAACGGGAAGCAGTGCCTGCTCATCCCACTCCTGGCCCTCCTCTGCTGCCAGCAGCTCCTGCTTCTGGAGCTGCTAATTAACCCCAAACACTGCTCAGCTGCTCTGCCTGCTGCTCCCACCTGAAGCTGCTTCCTCTGAGGAAGGAGACAGTGACCAAACAGCATTTTGGGGAACAAGGCATTTATAAGAGGAGTATGACGGAGAAAAGAGGTCCTAAAACTACCAAACAGGCAGAATGCATGTCTGGCTCGCCAGGAACCCAGCCATCTGCCCTGCACAGATCTTCAGAAATTAAAGCCTTATGCAAACTCCTCTGCCCTCAGGCCAAGACCTGCCACATCCCATTCCCTGTGCTCACCAACCCTTCCTCCCCAGGCTTCGGCGTGAGCTCCCATTTAAAGACACTCCATCTTCCAGTTCCAAGCCAGGCAAGGAAAGCTTGTGTCCTCCTTTGGACACGATCTACTTAGAGCAGCTTCTCCTGCTGCCTTTCAAATCTGCCCCCTCTAAACCTTTCTCACCCCTCCCTTTTCCTGAAGGAGTTTTTCCCTAAACCCTCTTAATTAAATTAGGTCCACATGGTCACCCGGGCAATTCTAACCACCTGCCGCCGTGCTGGGCCAGCCCATTCAGGAGGTTGTCCCCGGAATGACACAGCCATATGCGGGAGAGGATGCCGAGCAATCCCACACCCGGCACAACCCCCCTCCACGCCTGCCATGTCAGTGTGTCACCCGCTCCAGCGCCACAAAGGGTCTCGCAGCGGGAGCTGCCACCGCGTTGACACTTCCCAGCTGGAGCCTCGCAGCTCCGAGGTGCAATCAGGCACCACCGAAACACATCATCTCCCTTCCCTGCCCGGGGAGGCAGAGCCTGGCGAAGCTACTTGAAGGGGGAACGGTGGGGGGAGAAAAAAAAGCATTACATTGACACCTTGCAGTCGATTTATCTGACGCTCCTTTTTTAAAACCCCAGGTAAAACTTGCTTTAAAACTCCTTGCATCTCCCCAGCTTTCAGGCACGGGGATGTGTCCCCCCGACAAGGGCTGGGCTGCCTGCCGCCGCGCGTTAGGTGTTGGTACATCAGCTTGTTGGTTCCCCTCTGATTGCGCTGCGCTTTCTAACGATGCTTATGGAGTCTCGAGCAACACTGCTCGATGATGCTCAATGTGCTTCCTGACATCCCGAGGGGCTCATCTGGCCGGCCTGCCTTCGAGAGGCAGCCCAGCAGCCAGCTCTGTGGCATCCAGTGGCTGCAGGAGACACAGATGACCATCGCTGTGCCCACCCAAAAACTGGCCAGAGCCCAAATCTGGGGCCAGCCCCGCTCCTGCAGGGCACAGAGGGACATGTGTCCCTGCTCACAGCCCAACCCAGGGCAGGGGAAGGCAATTCCCTTGCTGCCAGGATGCTGGGTGATGCAGGCTGCCTGTAGCAGAGTGGGAACAGCTACACCAAAACCTTCTCTCAGTGTTCCCTTGACCCTACGTGAAACCAGCCCAAGACAGGTCACCTGCCAGCGCTGGACTCTGTGTGTCCCACCACCCTGCCCAAAATCCTGTTCCTGCAAGCCATAGGGACTGGAACATCCCTCCAGGGTGGAACAAAACCAGGCTGGTTACTCTGACTTTTGCCTTCTGGCTTCCCCCCCTCTTTAGTGTCGCTGATTAACACCCCACGGCTCGGGGGTAGCATTTCCAGGGAGTCACATCCCTATTACAGATGCAGTGACACCACCAAAAATATGCTTCTTGCTAATGCAGATAATCCTGGACTTCTAAACCATACTGGCTTAGCATAAGCAAGCCAGCTTTTTCTGGAGAAAATATGCTTTTGCTGGGTGTCTGAGCACACACAGACACACACCAGCTCTTGCTGGCCAGGAGCGTGTCCCCGTGCAAGCCCTTGCCTCCTCCTCAGTCTCTTGTCCCAGTGGCCCCACTTCAAATAAAGACAGGAAGAGTCCAAGAGCTATTGCAGAGGAGAGGAATTAAGGTGACATGTGCATCTGCCCTACCCCCAGCTGCTAATGGAAATGTCACACCGCAAACCTGCAGCGATCCCCAACGCCTTGTGAACACTTGCTGGCCTGGCGGCTCCATCTCCTCGTGCAAAGTGACTGGCTCGGTGACAAGGGACAGCCAGTTCTCATATGTCTCCCTGCAGCTGGGGGGAAAGCCAGAGCCACGTTTCCTCACCTCCCCTTGTCGAAATGTCCAAACATCCCCCTCACAGCACTCCGGTGCTCAGCCACGGGGCTGGGACACAGCCGTAAGCGTGGGCAGGGGGGGTGGCAGCAGGGCAGAGCTGGGGACATTGCGAGGAAACCCCTGGTCCCACAGACACGGTGGGGGCCCTGGCAGGAGACCTGCATGGCAGGGAGGGGTCCCTAGATCTGCCGTGCCCTCCTAATTCCATTTTACTCAAGCAGACACCTGTTTTGCTGAGGTTTCCAAGCACATTGATGGTCAAAGTAAAAGCCACCTCAAGAGCTGGTGGCTGGCACCCTCCCTCCCCCAAGTGCCCAAGCTGTCTGACAAGATTTCCCTTGGCACGAGGGGAAGAGCAACATGTGCCACGAGCCCTCGGAGACACTTCTGCTTGGTAGGACAGCCAATGGTGCTTAACCAGGCTGCACACCCACTACTATTTGGCATACTATATATATTTGGTATACTATAACCTGGTGTGTTAATGAAGTCTGAGACCAGTAAAATTTCATACCGAGACCTGCACCCACCGGGGAGGTGACACACACCCTTCTCAGCCATCCCAAACCCTAAGGAAGGAACACCCCGGAGCAGATGCAGATACCAGGGCTGGGATTGTCCAGCCCCTCGGCAAACGCAGCTCAAAGCCTCCCCTGCTCCCGAGGAACAGACAGCAACAAAACACAAGAACATTTCCCTGGGTGGAAAAAAAGCACTGTGGTCAATCCTAATTACCACATGCTAATGTGTCCTTCTAGCCACCCATCCCAATGCCTTCAAGGGGACAGGCACAGGGCACAGGCAAATTCCTCTAAATTAGAAGCAGGCAGAGGATTTCAAGACAAGGGGCTCATTAAACTATACCCTTACCCGTGTTGCGTGGTTTTGTACCTCTCCTTTCACAGAGCTCTCCATGAAGCCCCCAATGGTCAAGCCTGCAAGGTTTCAACCATCTGCCAAGCCCAGCTTTCGGGTGGCGCGATGCCGTGCAGGGATGCTGCCTCTGGGGCTCAGAGTTGGGTACCGTGGTCCCAACTGCAGGAATGCCCCAGGAAAGGCTGGTGAGTGAGGCTCTGCGGTGGGGGGACCATCTGGGGAGTGCTGAGTCACTTGGCACAAAGCACCCAGCCCACCCCAGCACCAGGGGACAGGTCTTGTGCCAGGAGAAGGGCTCACACACATGCAGCACCTGGACTGGGCTCCTCACCCCAGCACCCACCATCAAGTGTAGGACAGGGAAGATTCACCCAGGAGAAATGCAGTCAACGCAGAGCAAGACCTTAATGTAACTTGCTCCTTTTCTCCTTCTTCTCCCACAGGCTCTTCCTCTCCTGCTCCATCACCCACTCCCCCCCAAACATGCACAGACACTGCTCCTGGCAAAGCAGGGCTCAGGGAAGAGGGAGACATGAGGGATGGGGCAGGAGGGAAGCCGGGACAGCTACAGGGCAAATCTTTCTGCTGAAATACATGATTTAACTGCTCCTCCATGTGATCCTGCAGCTTAGGATTCACCCTCTCAAAATGCAGCGCCGGTGGCAGCACGCTGCAGGGGCGGACAGGGCACGAGGAACCGGGACCACCACGGAACTGCCCCCCAACCCCATCTTAGCCCTCAAATTCTGGCAAGAGGCTGGGTGTCAGGGCACCAGCCGTGGGGCAGCTCTCCCTGCCCCGACCTCGGGAAGGCCAACCCCGTAGGACCACGGCAGGGATGGACCTTCTGCCCGCACCCGAGGTCGGGAAGCCTTGGCAGAGCAGACCATTAGTAGCAGGATTCATGCTCCCTGTCCCTGACTGCATTTGTAATGGGATTTGATCGGCTTTAAGGCAGCTTATTCTGCCAATTAGCTTCAGCCAGTGAAATCCCTCTTCCCCCGAGCCCTGGGGGCAACAATCTGCTGACAACATGTTCTTTCCCCGATCTAGCCATTAAACTCACCAGCAGAGCTAGGAATTGTTAAAAAAAAAAAAAAAAAATTAAAAAAAAAAAAGAAAAAAGGGGGGGGGGAAGAAACTTGAAAACCCCTTGTTCATGGGGCCTTTCATCGCTGTTTACAGAAAAGCACTACGAACTGCTGGCCCTGGGAGAGCACCGTGATCTGCCAGCCCCACGCCCCCCCTCTCCTCCTCATCCTCACACCGCTGGCATTGGGCTGGCACCGGGCTCCCCACCGGCACCCGGAGCTGGGACCCGGGGCCAACCTGTAGAGCAAAGGCTCTTCTGCCCTTCTCCTGCAAACCTGGGGGGTGTCAGGGGATGGAGGGCAGGGAAAGGGACACAAGCTCCTTCCCACCCAGTCCAACTCGGCGTGGAAATGCTCCGGGTCACGGATGGTGGCCCCAGGAGGTGCCGAGCTCCCTCTGGTCCTCTTCTGGGCACCCCAGAAAGGGCTCAGACCCTGGCAGGATCCAGCCAGCGAGGTGATGGCGGGGTGGAAAACGGGATGTCCTCTTGATTCCTGGCATGCCAAGGTTGGGGGGGGGGGGGGGACCCGGGGTGTAAAGGACATGCAGGGACTAGGGTGCTGCCACCACCGGACCCGATCCTGCTTCGGGGGGGGCACAGAGATACCCAAACCCCCGCC